GGGCGGGCTAGCAGGCTGTCAGCTGCCTCCGAGCTCCACTTGTTGTCTAATGAGTTCCTTCTGTTGTGTGTTGATGCAGTTCATATGGCTCATGGTTGCAAGGAGAGCTGTGTTATTCCCAAAAACTTCAGCGCAGAAATGCGCATGTAAGCCTTCAGAAAGGCCAAGCTGCAGCCTGCGTGTACATCTTCATGGGAAACAGGAATGATCCATCTAGGCTGCTATTCCAAAAAACACTTGCGAGTGTACTTGACCTTAGGTGCTCTTCCTGAATAAGGATGCTTTCCTGGATGAAAGCCTTGAAAAGAGGAAAGCTAGCAGCTATTGACAAGCTTTTTGTTCCTTTCCCCCAGGTAGCCATGGTGGAGGTGCAGCTGGAGGTGCAGTACAAGTACCCCCAGATGCTGCTGATTGCTTTCAGTGCCTGCACAACAGTGCTCGTGGCAGTTCATCTCTTTGCCCTTCTCATCAGCACCTGCATTCTGCCTAACGTGGAAGCAGTGAGCAACATCCACAACCTGAACTCCATCAGTGAGTCCCCGCATGAGCGCATGCATCCCTACATCGAGCTGGCGTGGGGCTTCTCCACCGTCTTGGGGATCCTCCTTTTCCTTGCGGAAGTCGTGCTTCTGTGCTGGATAAAATTTCTGCCTGTGGGCTCCATCCTGAAAAATGAGACCACCAACGTCGAGAAGCCCAGCAGCCATGCGGGTTGGCAGTCAGCACTGGTCTCCACCATCATCATGGTCCCAGTGGGTCTGATTTTTGTCGTCTTCACCATACACTTCTACCGTTCTTTGGTGCGGCACAAAACGGAGCGCCACAACCGAGAGATCGAAGAGCTTCACAAACTGAAAGTGCAGTTAGACGGGCATGACAGAGGCATGCAGGTAGTGTGACAGAGAGGCAGAGGCTGCTTCCAGCAAATCCGCTCAGCTAAGGCTAAGAGCAAGATACCTGTTTTGCTAGTTGGTGAGACGCACCAGCGATGGATTGTCTTGAGGCTTAAATATGTAAATGCTAATTGCCTGCCATATATAGCTGTGGGTTCTAGTGCTGTTTCAGATGCTGGGGTCCCTGGCCTGTTTCTGGTCCTACACACTCGCGTACTTAGGTCAACACTGCCATGGAGTTCAAGGTCAAAACTTTATCTACCTTAACATTGGTTCAGGTAGCCAAAAATCTGTATTTTTTACAAATGCAATATTCGGTTGCCAAAAGTAAAACTGCATCAGCTGTCCAAAAAGCTGGGGGGTGTGTGTAGGACCTGTCTTAGGTGTCAGAACTCCCTGGCTGTCAGTGCAGCAGCAATTAACTGGCAGCTCGTTTCTAGAGCTGAGCTGCCTAACGAGGGTATCTGCAGCTGACTTGAGGACATCCAGGAAAGCACAATAGAAACTGTGAGTGTTGATCACCTCTGTTCCAAAGCAAGTGTTCCGTAAATACATAACCAGAAAGAAACCAGCCTTAGCTTTTATGTTCTTTTCTTGCTATTGCTTACTATATTTTTACAGCTGGGGAGGTAGAATTTCGAGTTGGAGGAGGCTGGGAAGTTCTGTCGTACTTTCTTCAGCAGCATCTGTCACTTTAGATTGAATGAATGCCAAGATCATGTGTTTTTTCCCAATAAGAGGCAAGAGTGCCCAGGGAAGGCTTACAGGTGTTTTAGTTTTAACAAGGACATTCTTAAAACAGAACAGTGACAGGGAATTTAATGAGAAAAAACTTTGAAGGACTAGAAAAGGAAGGTTCAAGGAGGTAAGGAGTGACAGCATATAGCATATTGTAGAAATCTGTCGTCGTGTCGTCTTCCTTTATGTATTGTTGCAATGTCTTTGCCTGGTTTGCTGGAGAGAACAAACCCCAGCCCTGTGTATTTCATCAGTTGTTTGAGGTTTTTTTTGTCAGCTGTAGCATTTGTCTGTCAAAAACGAACGCTTCCTTCTCCCTCCACCAAAGCAGGCAAGTCCTCTGGTGGAACCTGGAGCTGTACTGGCGAGTCTGATGGAGCCGGACCCGGCGAGAGAGCTGTGTGCCCATTAAAGAGCTATTACGTTTCATTTGAGCTGACTTTTTTTTTTCAGCAGCAGAGAAAATGACACTCGCACGTCTGTATCGCTTAGAAGGGAAGCTTGTAAATTCTATAGCATCTTTTTGGGTGAAAACTTCTGTGAAAATGATTTTATGATTTATGGTAACTTTGTGGAGGGAAAAGTGTTTTGCAATCATCAGCTCTTTTAAGGGAAAGTAAGGCTTTCTGCCACACAGGGCTGCAAGAAGCATGAGCATATTTTCTTGGCCCTGATCCTGTGCTGATTTCCTGCTCTGCACTCAAACATTGCAGTTTCAGAGTCTCCCAGGCCTTACAGGTTTCTGAAATCTTTAAGGATGTTGGTAATGTTGTATTTAACCCTGGTCCCTTATTCCACTGGGATTTGAGAAATCTAATGGCAGTGTGTTACATGTCAGCTTCCCAGAATGGAGAGTACACGCAAACCCCGGTGCAGCAGGGTGAGACTATCCCTATATTCCTCTCTGGCGAGGGCCTTGGGAACCCAGATCTAATCTCTCCTGTTTACATGTGAGTTTGAGCATTGCTGAACAAGTTGCTTAGCACTGTGTCTGTGGCTTTCATCTGTTGTTCTTGCCGCAGTTGGCATGTACCATATTGGCTGATGTGCAGCAAAGAAAATAGCCTTTGTGTGCTAAATGACTAGTCTGTACTTATGCAGATACACAAAAACCGAGTGCCCTCCAGGAGGTGGGTGATCGTGAAATTCATACAATCTCCGCAGGAGTCTGGCCTCTCTCCCTCCTCTTTTTACCATAATAAAAATTCAAGGTTTATACAAAAAAATCAGAGTTGAGTTTTCTGCCAAGTATTACACACATAGGCTCTTCTACCAACAAAATTTCTATTGTGAGGCCGGAGCCAGACCAGATAAGATGAATCTCTCATTTGTACTTTGCAGTCTCCTTTACCATCAGTAATAATAGGACTCTATGTGCTGTGGAGCTCAGGAGGTTGAGGAAAGTATTGAGCCATTTTTGTAATTAAAAAAAAGTTTCACAGTGTGCATACGATGCTGTGAAAGCAATGCAGCTCATATGGAAACAGCCAAATTTGCAGATATAATAAATTTCAGCAAATGGAGAAATGCAGCAGAAACTGTGCTTTGATTTTCGTAGGGTAACTTGGTGAGGCTTTGGTGGGATTGGATTCAAGTCTCAAGGCAGCGGATCGGTGGCTGGAGTGGTATCACCTTACTCTAGCAGGGAGTCTGAGGTACGGTTTGAGATGGTGTCCCAAGGGCGAATGCACTTAAAACAGAATAATAATGTGCTTTCCCATCTTTGCTCGCAGCTTTGTTTCTTGTGTCTCTCTGGGCACCGAGTTCTCCCTTCCATGAGAAGCCCACGGGAGTATTTTTACTCTTTGACTCTGGCGTCTGGGATCTCTCTAGGTTACCCATCACCGTCGTGCTGTAAGTCCTCTCCTTCTTTCCCAACAACAGCGTTTGCTTTTCTTGCTCCTGCCTCTCTTCCCCCAACTTGTTTACATTTTCACTGCTGTTAGGTCCAGACTTGTGCTGCGGAAAGATTGCCTGTGGTATCAGCCACGGTAGTTCATCCGTAAAGGAGTAGGGACATTGTACTTGTTCGGATGGGTGTTTCTGTGCTACAGCACCAGAAAATCCTCCTTGCTTCTGCTGCTGCCCCCGTGGCTGTCAGCAGGATTCCCATCAGTCAAGCGTGGAGATGCCTGCCTTTCCACACCGCCGCTGGTGTCCCAGCAGGGCTGGCCACGCACTGCGTCACGTCCGGGTTTGCCTGCCAGTGCCTGGCCACGTCTGTCCTGTGCTGTCACCTCTCTGTCGTGCCCGGGGTGTCTGTCGTTCCTGGGATCTCCCGAGTTTTGTGTGGCTCTGTTCCTGCAGCGCCTGCACAGGGATGCTTCTCCCAAGGGTCCTGCCTTCGGGCTGGGACATGTGTTGAGGATCGCCCCTGACGTGTGTGTGAGCTTTCTGTACCAGCCTTGGGCCCTTGGGTGCTGTAGTTTGGGATGGCTGTTGCCTTAATTCTCTGCTCCCTTGGGCTGTGACTCTCTGGACCAGTTCTTGCCTTGTTTGGGCCATTTTTCCAATTTCTGCAGCGGGGCTCACCTTGGCTTGCTGCAGGGGACAGCCACCATCTCACTCCACAGTCCTGAGTCCTCTTTCCCATTTTTTTTTGGCAGTTTTTTCCCGGCAGAAAAATGCCTCTGCAGGCTCCAGCACTGGAAAGACCCTTCCTAAAGCGGGGAAGGAGCTGTCGAGGACAGGGGTATGGCCCCGCTTCCTATTGTTCCTGGGCACATGCCTTGGTTTAGGAGGCGACTCCTCTCTCTCCTTCCCTCATTAGCAGGAGTCAAGACCAGGCATGAATGCAAGACGGAGGGAGCTGTCGGAGCTGGAGCAGTATCGGGTTCTCCCTTTGCTGTGGTTAGTGGTTACTCTGCGAGCTCCCTATTTTTAACGTTGCCCTGGGGCAGCCCTGGCTCTGGTAGCTGCCGCCCCGTTGTTTCGATGGATATGTGACTCTCGGGGAGGCTTTATGGCCAGAGGAGATGGAGTAGATGTTGGAATTGACCGCCTGGGCCTGACCCACGTGACGGATGAAAGCGATACTGTGCGAGAGCCCCGGGTGGAGTGCGCTCTGCAGTAAGCGCTCAAATATGTGGAAGTGTTTATAGAGAGCTGGTGGGGTGGGTGCAGCCGCAGAGCGAACATCCTTCAGTTCCCTGACGCTGGGACTCAGGGACGGGCAATCCCAGCTTGCCACGGGGACGGCCGCGCTGGGCTCGCGGATGGAGGTGCAGGGTGCCCGGCCAGCTGCGGGACTGGTTGCTCGCACTTCGCATTCTCCTCTTGCCTTTCCATGGCTTTACGTGGGATTTCATAATGTCCTTTCTCTTCTTTCCCTGCCTTAAACAAAGAAAAGGCCTTCGGATTTCCCTGCTTCTGTAGCTTCGTTACCTTCTAAATCTAGTTGCATCTACTTTTAAGACAGCTTCCTCAGTGTCTCCCCCCGAGCCGCAACCTCAAATTCAGATCCCGGCCCAACTGGGCCAGCGTGGTTATTTTCTGATTAACTTCTCGCAGGCTCTCTCCTCTGTACCCATTTCAAACAAAGTGGTTTCAGTAATTACTGACTGGCTGAATTTGGAAAGCATTCACGTGAATACCTGCGTGTACGACTGGGAGCTCGCCTTCTGCCCAGGGTTGTAACAACGATGAGTGCTAAGTGCTAGGAGAAGAAAAAAAAAAACCTCTGTATTTTAGCTTTGCCTATTCTTGTTTTATCTCTGCATGAACAATACTTAATGTAGAACAACGTATGTATCTCAGTTATTGTCCAGCTGTGTGAGAGAAACTGGATAAACTTGCTAAGTTTTATGCTTCTTGCTGATTTCAGACTGATTTTTTTGAAAGGCAGCTCAAGTCCTCCAGCATTCTCTATGGGTTAACTTGGGTTTTGCCTTTTTTTTTTTTTTTTTTAAAGCTTGGTCAACTATTATCCTTTTCCTTTTAAAATACACAACTAGATAACAATTAGATGTGCTTCCTTTTAATGAGGGCCTGGTTCTTGGTATGTGTTTTACAAGTGCTAATCTCAGTTAAGAAAATAAACAGCTGTGATAGGAATTCCTATAACATGAAGATCATTAAAGTTTGTCTTACATTAATAATGCTAGCATAGTGGCCAAAATTATTTTTAAGAGCTAATTAATTAAAACCTCTATATACTTTTCTCAGATTTCTCTGGTATTTGACAATCCAAATCAATTGTAAATGTTCTGCAGCGCTGCGATTCTGGCTTTTTAGGAGAGAATGTACATAAAGTTTTACAATAATACAGAACCGATGGGTGTGTAATTGCATTTTGCTCTAAGATGATGTCCAAGAGGCTGTTTAACAGGTGAAAAATGTCAAAAGATAGACATAGCAATGACTGTGTCACGACTAGATTAAGTTTTGGACTTCAAAAACATCTAGACAAAGCCCTCAGAATATAATTATTTGCATTTTTTAGATTTAAGATATGAACTAGGAAGAGCTGGAATTTTCTGGCAAGAACGGCAGCTTCCCATATAGTTTGATTGAGGCAGAAAAATTCAGCTAACAAATGCAGAGCACAAAATGAACTAATATTGTTTATCTTGTTATTGTGGCACTCTGATTCATCGGAAGCCATCATCTGCTTTCACTGCAAAGAGAATGAAACAGCAGGTACGCGCGCAGAAAGTATTTTAACAGGCTGAGAGCACAATATAAACCTCAAAGGGACCATTGGAAATAAGGGCCAAACGTTCATGGCCATACTTGACTGCCGCAGTTTGCCGATTGCTGGAGAGGCTCGCTGCTGGAAGGGCGATGAGGATATGGGCTCAACGCTTGCTTTATCCGTGAAAGCCTGCCCTGGGTTTCCTCCCGTAGCGTGGCTTTGTGCTGAGCTCCAGCAGGCTGCCAGCCTTGTCCTCCTGCTTGGCCGAATGTCCTCTGCTCCGACGGCAGCTCCAGGTGCTGGCCTGGGGACATCACGCTCTCTACGGCTGCTGAGCCCTGTGGACACCAGCGGCACGGTGCCGATCACACCAGTCTGCCGGAAAAAAGGTTAGGAACCGCTATTTTGGGAGCACGAGGCCCTGCTTTTGGGAGCGAGCTGGAGAAGTTGCAGCCTATGAGAAATTTCCTGGGATAAAGCTCGCTGTGAGCAAGCGTGGCCTGCCCGTTGCATGTTGGCTGGCTGGGTCTGCAGTGACGGGTTTCCGTCAGAGAGGGCATGCTGTGCCTGCCGAAACGGCTGCTGGAGCACGTAGGTGACGCTCGCCAGCCGGTCTGGATGGAGGTTTGGGGTTCAGGACTGCCGGTGGGAGCCCCGCTCGCAGGTCCCTGTTGGAATAGTCATGTAGATGTCCGCAGGTGTTTAAATACTGGGCTAAACTGAAACTGGTTCATTGCAGCCACAAAGGACCGTAGTTGTATCCGTTAGCTTAAACTGATAAAAAACACCCTGATTCACCCAACTGATTTCTAGTAACTGTTTTGTTGGGTGGAGAGCTCCCTTCCCCGCAGTGCCTGCAGCGCCGGGCAGTGTCTGCGGCACGAGCGCGTTACTGTACAGTGAAACCTGTGCATTGTGCCAAGGACAGGGCAGAACACAGCTGTGCAGGGACGCCGAGATCCCCCGTGTAAATGCGTCCCCTTTCCTTACCAACTGAAGCCAGGCAGCGTTGTAAAGGGTTCTTTTACTGTTGTAGGTGTGACTGTGCTGAATGGTTTTGATGACACAACTGTGTTTATTAAAGGATCACACTTCTTCCACGGCACAACTTCATTTTCAAGAGCACAGAAGTTTGTTCCGAACAGACAGATGGCCTCAAATCAGCTTCTGCTCCAAACGACTACTTGAATCTTAGGTACAAGGCATGATTCAAACCTGACTGCTGGAGGTGCCAAGAAAAAAAATGATAGCCGCCAGCGTTGCAGTCTGTTGCCCAGCTTATTCCCAAAATCAGACTCTCGCTACTGAGAGTTGACAGCGGGGTTCAGAGATGACAAATGATCAGAAAATAACACAGTCTGTGCAAGTCTTTGGTCTGAACTCTGTCCAAGCCGTCTCTGCAGAAGAGTCGGCATCGGCCCTCTGCAAATGCTGCTCTTTGGTCCCAGAAGATATAGGTCACACACAGTATCTATGATTAATCCTCACTGTTAGAGCATGAATCTTCAGCAAAGGATAATTACCTTAATTAGTTCTCGGTGTGTTGTACTATCTGTGGAGAGATGCTTGCTTACCCTCCTCCCCTGGAGAGCTGATCTCTAAAGGACCTATCTGAAGCGGGTGAGAAGATAGTTGTGTCCCTACGGCACAGTGCAACGCTAAAAGCAGTATGACAGAACCGAGTAAGGGCCAGGAAGGGTTAAAATCTACCGCAGGGCTTGGGCTAAATCTGCGCCAAGGGCTGTTTGATACTCGGCTCAGTTTAATGATCCTAAGTTTCCTTCTTGGTTTAATTTAAGTATTTAAGAACTGGCTATTTGCTTTTTGCATTTTATTCCAATACAGTTAATGAACACAACAGCTCATTTCTGACTTTGGCCTACAAGCTCCCACTGCCCAGGAAAGTCTTTGAAGAAACAAGCAGCCCACCCCTTCCTTGCACTCTCTTACTTCTGTTTGTTAAATTTCCATTTGAGCTTATCTCTGTACACACCTGGCTCCTTACACACACTTCAGAAATAAACCAGAGTTGTACAAATTCTGTACTTTATTTTTCAAATTTCCTAACAAAACGCAATTCTGGCTTCCTCTTGCTGATCACACTGGTCTTCCTTGGAATGAGAGAGCTATTTCTAGCAGTTCTTTACCCAGTTCCTCATGCCTTCCTCCGGTGCTGAACTCCGCAGACAGCTCCCTGAACGTGACACAGATTCGGCGATGCTCTATATGCTTGCGGTGAATCGCGTGTTTCCACTTGTACCGTGCGTCACCGTACAGCACCACCAGAGACCTTCGGGGTAAGTGAATGGCAACAGTCACCTCTTTACTTGGAACAAGCCTTGGGGATAAAATGCAGCCGATTCCCTCTTCGCCTGAATTTTTGCACACTGACGTCTGTGTAAAAGATCCAGGGGGACTTAATTCCCCGTTTTCTTTACTGAAAGTGGGAAATAATTGGATACTGTCCTCTGAATCACAAGACATGGATAGGACGGTTTTTGAGAGCAAGTTTAAGCTAACCAGACGCTCTCCCCAAAGCCACCAGTCGTCAAAATGTGGGTCGATGGCAGAACCCCTTTCTGGCATGTAGTCCAGATTACATTGTTCAACAGGTAAGAAACCACCTAGTACAGAGCAGGCCTTCATTTGTGCCACAATCTTTTCACTAAAACTTGGCAAACCAGTAAAGCTGCCAGCTTTCAGCCTTTGTTTCTTGAAGTTCACTTTGGGTCCATAGTCCTGTTGGAAAAGAAGAGGGGGGGGAAGCTAGTGTTAAGGAAAAATCTAGGCCAAGTCTTTTTGGAGAGGCTGTGATCCCTACAGGGCTCACGGTCGTCGGGACTTTTGATTTCTCTTCTCCTCTCTTGCAGTGACCTGGTCATCAGGTCGCAAAGGGACTCAGTGAAGCTACATTAATCTCACTGGAATTAGATTTCTCACCTGTAAAGTAAAAACAAAACACTCCCTTCTTCCACTTGGGAGATTGTGTGAACTTTAATGCCTGAACACGCGCCATCAAGTACAATTTGTTACTACTACCATATATTTTTGCAAGAAGTTGACTTTAATTGCAAGTAATTCTTGCAATCGATTTCAGGAGAAGCTTCCAAAGGAAAACATTTAATGAAACATGTAAATGTTCTGTGTTTTAACTGAAAACAGCTTTCCTTTTCCAGAGGGATCTAACAACAAATGTGCTTCTAGGGTCAAACCTGTTTCTTTCGGCCAGACTGCGATGGCTTCCAGTCATCTCGATCCATCAGTTCAACTATCTCAGATTCTTCATCTTCGCTAATGAACTCCCCCGTCAGAAACACCCCTGGAAAGGGAAATGCCCAGCCAGCAAATTCCGAGCGCTCCTTTCCTTTAGCTAGGCCTGTTGCTGGACAGTAAGTGAAATTTTCTTCTCCCTGTGGAAATAACAATGGAGAAGGAAAAAGCGGTGGGGGGAAAACTTATAAGACAAGGTATTGCCATGATTTACCCCTGCAGCCTTGATGCTGCAGCGTGAAAGCTGTCTGTACAGGATTCTTGCAGACATGAGAAATTTTACAGCTGCTTCTGGGGAACAATTCTTCCCCGCTTTTTTTACAGCTCCAGCATTACTGTGCTGCTTGCTTGAAGCCGCTTCTCTTTCCTAGTAATGTCTTTATCCTGCAAAGACGGGGAAGAAGAGATGATCCTCAGTGCCAAATGCGTAAGGAGATTAATGGTGGGTGTTCCTCAGGCCGGCTGTAGAGATACCGTTTGTCATATCGATAAATGTTGAATGAGGAAAGTTGATAAAAATCGCCGAGGCCGAAAGGCCAAGCTGTAGCGAACCTGCCTTTTCTTAATGTACCAAACCCAGGTGAGGGCTGTCTTCCAGCAGCACGCTCCGGGGGGGAGGACAGCGGGGCCAGCCCGGGGC